CTTTTCAAAAAAACTCCCTCTAGCTGCCTGTCAAAACAAACTCCCTCTAGCTGCCTGTCAAAAAACTCCCTCTAACGCCTGTCAAAAAAACTCCCTCTAACTGCCCGTCAAAAAACAACTCCCTCTAACTGCCTGTCAAAACCAACCTCTAGCATCCTGTCAAAACAACTCCCTTACTGCCTGTCAAAACAAATCCCTCTAGCTGCTGTCAAAACAACTCCTCTAAATGCCTGTCAAAACAACCCCTCTAACTGCCTGTCAAACAACTCCCTCAACTGCCCGTCAAAACAACTCCCTCTAACTGCCTGTCAAAAAAACTCCTCTAACTGCCTGTCAAAACAACTCTCCTCTAACGCCGTCAAAACAATCCCTCTACGCTGTCAAAACAACTCCTCTAGCTGCCTGTCAAAACAACTCCCTTTTACTGCCTGTCAAAAAAACTCCTCTAACTGCCTTTCAAAACAACTCCCTCTTAGCCGCTGTCAAAACAACTCCTCTAGCTGCCTGTCAAAACAACTCCTCTAACGGGCCTTGTCAAAACAACTCCCTCTAACTGCCCGTCAAAAAACTCCCTCTAACTGCCTGTCAAAACAACTCCCTTAACTGCCCGTCAAACAAACTCCCTAGCTGTCTGTCAAAAAACTCTCTAGCTGCCTGTCCCAAAAAAACCCCTCTAGCAGCTGTCAAAAACAACTCCTCTAGCTGCCTGTCAAAACAAAATCTCTCTAACTGCCTGTCAAAAAAAACTCCCTCTAACTGCCTGTCAAAAAAACTCCCCCTAACTGCCTGTCAAAACAACTCCCTCTAACGCCTGTCAAAACAACTCCTCTAGCTGCCTGTCAAACAACTCCCTACTGCCTGTCAAACAACCCTCTAGCTGCCTGTCAAAAACAACTCCCCTAACTGCCGTCAAAACAAAATCCCTCTAACTGCTGTCAAACAACTCCCTCTAAATGCCTGTCAAAAAAACTCCCCTCTAACTGCCGTCAAAACAACTCCCTCTAACTGCCCGTCAAAAACAACTCCCTCTAACTGCCTGTCAAAACAACTCCCTTAGCAGTCTGTCAAAACAAACCCCAACTCCTTAGCCCGAACTGTTCAAAACAATCCTCTACTGCTGTCAAAAAAACTCCCTCTAGCCTGTCCTGTCAAAAAAAACCCCAAAAATCCCTCTAGCTGCCTGTCAAACAACTCCCTCTACTGCCTGTCAAACAACTCTCTCTAACTGCCTGTCAAAAAAACTCCCCCTAACGTCCCGTCAAAAACACTCCCCCTAACTGCCTGTCAAAACAACCCCTCTAGCTGCCCGTCAAAAAACAACTCCCTAAGCTGTCCTGTCAAAACAACTCCCTCTAGCTGCCTGTCAAAAAAACTCCTCTAGCTGCCTGTCAAAACAACTCCTCTAACTGCCTGTCAAAACAACTCCCTCTAACTGCCTGTCAAAACAACTCCCTCTAACTGCCTGTCAAAACAACTCCCTCTAGCTGCCTGTCAAAACAACTCCCTCTAGCTGCCTGTCAAAACAACTCCTCTAACTGCCTGTCAAAACAACTCCCTCTAACTGCCTGTCCAAAACAACTCCCTCTAACTGCCTGTCAAACAACTCCCTCTAGCTGCCTGTCAAAACAACTCCCTCTAACTGCCTGTCAAAACAACTCCCTCTAACAGCCTGTCAAACAACTCCCTCTAACTGCCTGTCAAAACAACTCCCTCTAACTGCCTGTCAAAACAACTCCCTCTAACTGCCTGTCAAAACAACTCCCTCTAGCTGCCTGTCAAAACAACTCCCTCTAACTGCCTGTCAAAACAACCCTCTAACTGCCTGTCAAAACAACTCCCTCTAGCTGCCTGTCAAAACAACTCCCTCTAGCTGTCTGTCAAAACAATCCTCTAACTGCCTGTCAAAACAACTCCCTCTAGCATGTCTGTCAAAACAACTCCCCCTAATGCCCGTCAAAAAAACTCCCTCTAGCTGCTGTCAAAACAACTCCTCTAGCGCCCGTCAAAACAAACCCTCTAACTGCTGTCAAAAAAACTCCCTCTACTGCCCGTCAAAACAACTCCCTTAATGCCTGTCAAAACAACTCCCTCTAACTGCCTGTCAAAACAACTCCCTCTAACTGCCTGTCAAAACAACTCTCTCTAACTGCCTGTCAAAACAACTCCCTCTAACTGCCTGTCAAAACAACTCCCTCTAACTGCCTGTCAAAACAACTCCCTCTAACTGCCTGTCAAAACAACTCTCTAACTGCCTGTCAAAACAACTCCCTCTAACAGCCTGTCAAAACAACTCCCTCTAACTGCCTGTCAAAAACAACTCCCTCTAACTGCCTGTCAAAACAAATCCTCTAACTGCCTGTCAAAACAACTCCCTCTACGCCTGTCAAAACAACTCCCTCTAGAGCCCGTCAAAACACTCCTCTAGCGCCCGTCAAAACAACTCCTCTAACTGCCTGTCAAAACAACTCCCTCTAACTGCCTGTCAAAACAACTCCCTCTAACTGCCTGTCAAAACAACTCCCTCTAACTGCCTGTCAAAACAACTCCCTCTAACTGCCTGTCAAAACAACTCCCTCTAGCTGCCTGTCAAAACAACTCCTCTAGCTGCTGTCAAACAACTCCTCTAGCTGTCTGTCAAAAACAACTTCTCTAGCTGCTGTCAAAACAAACTCCTCTAGCTGCCTGTCAAAACAACTCCCTCTAGCTGCCTGTCAAAAACAACCCTCTAACTGCCTGTCAAAACACTCTCTCTAACTGCCTGTCCAAAATCCCCTAATGCTTCAAACAATCCTCTAACTGCCTGTCAAAACAAACTCCCTCTAACTGCCTGTCAAAACAACTCCCTCTAACTGCCTGTCAAAACAACTCCTCTACTGCCTGTCAAAAAAACTCCTCTAACTGCCGTCAAAACAACTCCCTCTAACTGCCTGTCAAACAACTCCCTAACTGCCTGTCAAAAAACTCCTTTTAAATGCCTGTCAAAACAACTCCCTCTGCGCCCGTCCCAAAAAAACTCCCTCTAGCGCCTGTCAAAACAACTCCCTCTAACTGCCTGTCAAAAAAAAACTCCCTCTAAACTGCCTGTCAAAACAACTCCCTCTAACGCCTGTCAAAAAAAACTCCTCTAACTGCCTGTCAAAACCCAAATCCCTCTAAGGCCTGTCCCAAAAAAAATCCCCCTAGCTGCTGTCAAAACAACTCCCTCTTTGACTGTTCAAAACAACTCCTCTAACTGCCCGTCAAAACAACTCTCTCTAACTGCCTGTCAAAACCCAACTTTCCACTCCCCAACGCCTGTCAAAAAAAATCCCTCTAACTGCCTGTCAAAACAACTCCCTCTAGCTGCCTGTCAAAAACCCAAACTCCCCCTCTAGCTGCCTGTCAAACAACTCCCCTCTAACGCTGCAAACAACCCTCTAACTGCCTGTCCAAAAAAAAACTCCCTCTAATGCCTGTCAAAACAACTCCCTCTAGCTGCCTGTCAAAACAACTCCCTCTAGCGCTGTCAAAAACAACTCTCTCTAACTGCCTGTCAAAAAAAACTCCTCTAATGCCTTTTCAAAAATCCCTCTAACTGCCTGTCAAAACAACTCCCTACTCCTGTAAAACAACCCTCTAACTGCCTGTCAAAACAAATCCCTCTATGCTGTCAAAACAACTCCCTCTAGCGCTGTCAAAACAATCCATCTAGCCTGTTCAAAACAAACTTCTCTAACTGCCTGTCAAAACAACTCCCTCTAAAAAGCTGTCAAACAAAATCCCTCTACTGCCTGCAAAACAACTCCCTAACTCCTGCAAACTCTCTCAACTGCCTGTCAAAAAAACTCCCTCTAACGCCTGTCAAAACAACTCCCTCTAATGCTGTCAAAACAACTCCCTCTACTGCCTGTCAAAAAAACCATCCTCTAACTGCCTGTCAAAACAAAACCCCCCAACTGCCTGTCAAACAACTCCCTCTAACGCTGTCAAAACAACTCCTCAACTGCCTTGGGCAAAACAACTCCCTCTAACTGCCTGTCAAAACAACTCCCTCTAGCTGCCTGTCAAAACAACTCCCTCTAGCAGTCTGTCAAAAACAACTCCTCTAACTGCCTGTCAAAAACACTCCCCCCTAACTGCCTGTCAAAAAAACTCCTCTAATGCCTGTCAAAACAACTCCCTCTAACGCCTTCAAAACAACTCCCTCTATGCTGTCAAAACAACTCCTCTAACTGCCTGCAAAAAACTCCCTATAGCTGCCTTTTCAAAACAAATCCCTCTAAGTCGTCAAAACACTCCCTCTAACTGCCTGTCAAAACAAACTCCTCTAACGGGCCCGTCAAAAAAACTCCCTCTAATGCCCTGTCAAAACAACTCCCTCTAATGCTGTCAAAACAACTCCCTCTAACTGCCTGTCAAAACAACTCTCTCTAACTGGGCCCGTCAAAAACAACTCCTCTAATGCCTGTCAAAACAACTCCCTCTAGCTTTGCCTGTCAAAACAACTCCCTTAACTGCCTGTCAAAAACAACTCCCTCTAACTGCCTGTCAAAATAACTCCCTTAACTGCCTGTCAAAACAATCCCTCTAACTGCCTGTCAACACAATCCCTCTAAACTGCCTGTCAAAACAACTCCTCTAGCTGCCTGTCAAACAACTCCCTCTAGCAGTCTGTCAAAACAACTCTCTCTAACTGCCTGTCAAAACAACTCCCTCTAACTGCCTGTCAAAACAACTCCCTCTAACTGCCTGTCAAAACAACTCCCTCTAGCTGCCTGTCAAAACAACTCCCTCTAGCAGTCTGTCAAAACAACTCCATCTAGCTGTCTGTCAAAACAACTCTCTCTAGCTGCCTGTCAAAACAACTCCCTCTAGCTGCCTGTCAAAACAACTCCATCTAGCCAGCCATAACAATATCCATCTTATATGATGACCTCTCAGAGATTGTCAATGTATTTGATTCCCAACTGTCCTCTATATGGTTATGGGATGGTTAAGGGTTAGGGGTCATAGGTTAAAAGTCAGTGCTTACACGTTAAGCCCCCGTCCACTCCTTCACGAACCAGGAATAGACTGAAGTAAGCAGCCAGGTCGTCTGGAAGGTCCAGCTTCGACGCAACAGCCTGCAAATCAGAAGACAGACAAAGATCATCTTTGGTTATATTTTTCTGTGTTTGAATGAATCCACAACTCCTATTTCCTCTAACTCATATAAAACATATTGTCGTTTTTAAATAAATTGTATCCACTGACAGTTATACAGCCTTGAACCTATTGAAATATCCCAGAGAGAGGTCTATGGTCACATACAGCTTACCTCGAGGACGTCCTCTGTCTGGTCGGAGGTCAGGATGTTGACCGTGACCTTCTGGCCGTTAGACAGGTAGATCTCCAGAGGTACCTCTTCTGTTGGAATCTGCTGGGTCTCCTATAGGACAATGACAGGTTTACTGCTGGGTCTCCTATAGGACAATGACAGGTTTACTGCTGGGTCTCCTATAGGACAATGACAGGTTTACTGCTGGGTCTCCTATAGGACAATGACAGGTTTACTGCTGGGTCTCCTATTGAACAATGACAGGTTTACTGCTGGGTCTCCTATAGGACAATGACAGGTTTACTGCTGGGTCTCCTATAGGGCAATGACAGGTTTACTGCTGGGTCTCCTATTGGACAATGACAGGTTTACTGCTGGGTCTCCTATAGGACAATGACAGGTTTACTGCTGGGTCTCCTATAGGACAATGACAGGTTTACTGCTGGGTCTCCTATTGAACAATGACAGGTTTACTGCTGGGTCTCCTATAGGACAATGACAGGTTTACTGCTGGGTCTCCTATAGGGCAATGACAGGTTTACTGCTGGGTCTCCTATAGGGCAATGACAGGTCTATTATAATCAGGTTATAGAGGTTACATAGGAGCATAGGGATTATAAGAGAATGGCATATCTACAGAGATCTTCTTCTGTTGGGATCTGCGGAGTCTCTTGCAACAGACAGAATGAGTTTATATGACAGACAGTGTCCGAACTAGATCCAAACGTTATATTCCGTTTCTTCTACCAGCTGTGCAGCGTGGGCTGTGTACTGTAGATACTGTAGCCTGCACAACTGCGTGGGGGAAACAGCACGACTGGATAATATGGATTTAACGTTGGGGGTAAAGGTCGGAATGACAAAATGTAATGTGTCCAACATCTAAAAGACCTACATCACTACACTGAGAGTGTGTCCGTTTCTAAAAGGATGTATTTGGGAGGTTTTGAATCTTTTGTTCATCTCTCTTGCGTGCCCCGATACCGCGTGCCCTGATACTGTTTCTCAAAAACAAGCCAAATTACATTTAAAAAAGTGTTTGGACCCTTCTATAACATGTCATTTACATCAAAAATAGAGATTTACTGCAGAAATAGGACAATTATCCTTTAAAGATATAGTTGAACAATTACAGTGCATTCAGAAAGTCTTCATACCCCTTCACTTATTCCACATTTTGATGTAGTACAGCCTGAATTCAAAATGGATTAGAAATACCCAACAATGACAAAGTGAAAACACGTTTTTAGAAATGTTAGCAAACTGTAGATGTTGCCTTGTGTTTTAGGTTATTGTCCAGCTGAAAGGTGAATTCGTCTCACAGTGTCTGGTGGAAAGCAGACTGAACCAGGTTTTCCTTTAGGATTTTGCCTGAGCTTAGCTCCATTCCATTTATTTTTTATCCTGAAAAAACTCCCCAGTCCTTAATGATTACAAGCATACCCATAACATGATGCAACAACCACTATACTTTTAAATTTTTTGCAGTATTACTTTAGTGCTTATTGCAAACAGGATGCATGTTTTGGAATATTTAGATTCTGTATATGCTTCCTTTTCACTCTGTCAATTAAGTTACTATTGTGGAGTAACTACAATGTTGTTGATCCATCCTCAGTTTTATCCTATCACAGCCATTAAACTCTGTAACTGTTTTAAAGTCACCATTGGCCTCATGGTGAGATCCCTAAGCAGTTTCCTTCCTCTCCGGCAACTGAGTTAGGAAGGATGCCTGTTCTGTATCTTTGTAGTGACTGGGTGTATTGATACACCATCCAAATTGTAATTAATAACTTCACCATGCCCAAAGAGATATTTAATGTCTTCTTCTTTTATTTTTACCCATCTACCAATAGGTGCCCTTCTTTGCGAGGCATTGGAAAACCTCTCTGGTCTTTGTGGTTGAATCTGTGTTTGAAATTCACTGCTCGACCGAGGGACCTCCTACCTCCTCCCCTCAGATAATTGTATGTGTGGGGAACAGAGATGAGGTAGTCATTTATAAATCATGTTAAACACTATTATTGCACACAGAGTGAGTCCATGCAACTTATTATGTGAGTTGTTAAACACATTTTTACTCCTGAACTTATTTAGGCTTGCCATAACAAAAGGTTGGAATACTTATTGATTCAAGACAGCTTTTCAAGGTAGGAGTAGGAGGAGGGAAGGAGTGAGGGAGGAAGGGAGGAGGAGAGGAGGGAGTGGGGGGAGGAAGGAGGGGAAGAGAGGAGGAAAGGTGGGGGATAGAGAACAGACACAGGGTACTCAGCAGAAGGAGGGGGGGAGTGGAGGAAGGAGAGAGAGAGTATCCTCACAAGAGGAGGCGAAAACAAGGCAACAGTAAACATGTCTTGGTAGATTTACACCGTCCGGCCTAGCAACACAGCCAGGTGAGTGATGGCTCTACCAACCAATAGGAAAACTAGCATGCACTGACAGCGAGAGTATGGCTTTTGGAGAGTCAGGAAAGACTAAGAAGTGATTTGTGTCGATTAAGAATTGGCTAAAAACACCACGAAGCGATTATTTGAGAGGTACCTGTAAATTTCTAACGATATATACGTATGAACTCGCTCGCCCGAACGTAGACGTACGTAATGGGTGAGAAAGTAGAGAATATGAGTTTAAGGTTGTACCGTTGTTTGATCATGTGATAAGGTATAATGGGTAATCGGACCATAACTAATGTGGTTATAGAAGTAATGTATAAATAGTAGAGAGCCAATAGAGGGTTCCATTGAACTATTATGTTTTGTTGGGCATTTCGGTGGCATGGGGTGGGGTCTGTGTGTATGAGTGAATTTGGCGGCTGGTATGGGTGGTGACCGGATACTACTGAGTATTTGGTTTGTTGATGTTGAATGGAAGATTTGTAGCGTGGTTTGGGGTTAAATAGAAAGACTCACTTATTCAATAGGGAATGGGTGAAGGGAGAGAGAGAGCATTACTTTGTGTTGCTGAATGAGGTGAAAGCTAGTGCGGTTTTCATTTGGTGACGTCACTTGCTCTATGAACTGGAAGTATTTACTTTGAAAGCATCGCGGAATGTGTGGGGTGACTGGCAATGTATGTAGAGGGTCCCGGGTTTGAACACAGGTGGGGACAGTGGGTCAAGCTTTCGCATTGGGGCTATAGACCTAGATTACTACGTGGATTGAGAAATGTGAAAGGTTGAATTAGATAGACCTTTCTAGAATACTTCTACTTAAGCTATGAAAATATGTTACAAGGTCCCCACGCCTTCCCCGTTGTGTAGGAAGGAGCAAGGGGAGGAGTGAGAGATAGTTTAAATGATAGGAATATCATTAAATGTATGCTTATCAACTGAAATGGCGATAGAGCTGTGAAAATTGAGTTGAGGACAAAGGAGAATAATTTATGGCTCTGGTTAGCGGGAGAAAAAAAAATATATAGAGACAGTCCAGCGAGTTCGATTGAGCTGTAAGATTTCAAGTAGAGGTCTAAATACTTGACTGAAAGGCAGTGCTTTGATGAATTCTAATTGTTATTACTTTATTCGATAGGTTGCTTAACACCAGTGGTGTATGCAAATAGTTGGTGAATTCTAGAACGATAATTTATTTTCGTTACGGGGACCAGGGGATGCAAGTAGCTTTAGCTATTATGCTGAGGGAATAGCATCAACCTATAGTGGGTTCTAGATTTGTTAAATAAACAAACGTATATTTTAAACTAAAGTAATGCAATAGGCTACAATTATAACATTATCAGAAAAAAGGCACAATTTAATGTGAAATAGTTATTACAATTATTAAGAATAGTTATTACAGTTATTATCATTGATCCAGTAATGATAGAAGGATAGTAGAGGAAAGGCAAGGGATTAAATCTCATTTAGGGAAAGTGGAAGAGTATGATGATATATTAGGAAGAAAATACCATTAACTGAGGGATTTAAAACGTTTAGCTGAAAAAGACAACAGGAATAATTTACCTTACACCCTAATATAGACATTAGACCACACCAGAAGTAGAGATGGCAGGATCACCAGTAGCAATCATGAAGAGAAGGTTCCCAGAAAATAGTGAAGATATTGGTAATATCTCTAACAAATGAGAAAAAAGGACCAGAAAGATAGTAACTAAATGGCCAAAATGAGGGAATATTTGATGTAACCGTGATTGTATTGGCTAAAAAAATGAAATATGACATTTACAGGGGGGACAGGAACAATAGAAGGGGAGACAGATTTTCCTAGGGGGTTGATCAAATAATTGATAATGGATCATTTGAGATGAGATCACATGTAGCAGATTTAGGGTAATCAAATAAATAATCATTGTATACTCGAGGAATTTTGAGTGGTTTTATGGATTAGTTATGAGGAATTAGATTGATACAAACAATTATTGATGGGTTAGGACTGGGGATATCTGTATCATGTTTTGTGTGTACTACCATCTTTAGATTACTGATGGTAATTGAAGGTTAACAAAATGTATAACCAGGAGAAAGAGATTAGCTTATCTCATTGGAATGTTGCCCAGGGCTAGGGGGAGCAGTAGTGAAGTTAGGCAGTATTTAGGCAGTGAGCTACCAAATCAAGTGGGGCCTGGCTATTTGTGGTTGTTGTTTTTCAAATTGGGTTTTTCAAATAAAAAAACAACACACCTAGTATGATGGTTATAAAGGGTTGTTATGTTAAAATTAGGCAGTATTTAAAAATAAGGGATGGCAATTGGATGATAAATTACCAATATTACCTAAGTGATTGTTTAGGTAGGTGGTAATATTGAAACATGAGCAAAACATGTGTCAAAGGGGGGATGGTAGGATTAAATAATAAATCTATACGAAGGAGAGGACAAAATACTTTTAAAAAAAATGTTTAGATACAGTCTAGAAAGAGAATGCAGTCAGAAATAGAAATTGAGAGCTGAACATGTGTGAAGATAGTTTATTAACCACACCCGTATGTCAGAGGTTTTGTGCCCCACAGGTGAACTAAAGGAGAAGGTGACCCACTCTATCTAACCAGGTGACTGGTGAGCATCCAGTCCCTAAAGAAGAAAAACTGGAAGCAGGCCTGTTGGGAAGGGCCCTATCAGGTTATATTGGTCACTGCCTTTGCCATTAGAATAGCAGAAAGAGCAACCTGGGTCCACGTTACCCACTGCAAAAAGGTAAGAACACATACAAGCGCCATTGAACACATGCAGAGTTAGAGAGAAGAACTGAACCAATAGGGTCTGGGGATCACCTCTGTTAACGAAGATCTCCTACCCCGACCTATCATCACTGTAGTGTGTTCTCAGGGTGTGAGTATGGGGTAGTACCAAGCAGAAAGACTAAGGACAGGAGAGGGTTGGCGGTTTTTGGGAATATGGATAACTTGAGTTGCATCATAGTCTCGGTAATGGTCTTGATATGTCAAGATCCACCACCAATTACGCTATGCCCTTACCATTGTTAAGAAGTAAAAGAGAAGAGAAGCGACCCGACATACTGACCGTCAAGGACGAGTGGCCTACAAAATGGGAGTCAGAGAAGGGCAGACTGTCAGATTCAAAATAAAGGTTAGGGACGTAGCCAACGGGTGGGGTACATGTCAATAAGCAACTTGGGATTATAAAATCCCATTATATTCGTGTTCGGCCCCCACGGCAGATTGTTCCTAGACTCAAGTGTTTAAATACACTTGGGGACGGGGATATGAGACCGAGGGGGACTGAACATCCAGATGGGGAGTAAAGAGAAACAAAGACATCACCAATTATCAATTGGAGATAGTAGTAATGTGACGGACTTAAGTTCGGAAACACAGGAGAGAATTTTGAACCTTACAGCCCCTGTAACCGGTGTGGTGGGCGTGTGCCAGTAAAGGCAGTATAAGGCAGAGAATTCCAAAGGGGTGGCTAGATACGTGCGCCCTGGTTCTACTGGTTCAGCTAGTTAGAATTAGTCACCAGGAACCAAGGATTGAACAGATGTAGGAGGAGTTTTGACAAGAAGGAGAATAGCCCTATTTAGATGGATGCGATTAGGCTACCAAGGGGGATATCGGATGGATACTGAGCTATGAAACAATTAGGGGAAGGGTTTACTACCACGTTCTTTTGGTGGGTGACAATAAACAAAATTGTGAATTGGATTAATTACATCTATTACGACCAACAACGATTTATTGGCTGGACTAGGGATGCAACAGAAGGGATCTTTTGAACAATTATCCGCCATCTCACTCTTATGACTTAGTAAAAAGAGGTTGGCTCTAGATCAGGCAGAAAGGGGTGGTGTCTATAGAATGGGAAGCCATTGTTGTACGTTTATCCCTAACAATACCAGTCCTGACGGGAGTATCTCTAAAGCCCTGGTTGGTTTAGATAAACTATCAGCTGAAATGAAGAGCATGGCTGGAATGGAGGGAAACGGACTGTTCTCCTGGTTGGGGGAGTGGTTTGGTAAGTTCGCATCATTGGTGGTTACTGCATTTCTGACCCTAGTAGTTGTGTTTCTAATATTAATGTGCTGTACTGCCTGTGTAATTCCTTGTCTGAGAAAGTCTGTTACAGATGTCGTGCATACGGCTGGTATGATGCCCCTCCTAGGGGCTCAAGAAGGGGATGCAGACACTGAGATGGGGTTGACAAAGGATGACCCTTGGTTTGCTATTGGTGAGGTGGTGGAGTGACACCCTAGTGGGTGTCTAAAGGGGACCAAAGTTCACTTCCCTGTTTATGTTTTATGCTTTATTAATCAAGTTAACCATTGTGAATGTTTGTCTTTCCTTATGTGAAGGTTTGAAGTTCCTGGGTGGCTGGTAGCCAACCTAGTACCAGTTGGGTGTAGATGGAAGGACTGAGGGTTTTTATTTTTTATTATCATTATTGCCTATTAATAAAAGTGTGATTATTTTTGTTTGTATTGTATTTTAATGAGTGACACCCTAGTGGGTGTCAAAAGGGGGAATCCTAAATTTCCCTTCTTATTTTGGGTTCACACCCAGTGGGTGTGAAAAGGGGGATTGTGGGAAATTGTTCTCTTATATTTTAGATGTGCTGTTAGCTTAATAAGAAAGCATTAATGATTAAACATAATAGGTTTGTACTGTACTGATATAAATTGGTCAACATAACAAGCTGTGATTAATGTGGGGAACTATTAGGGGGTAGGCTGAGATAAGACTTGTGTCTCACATACACACACACTGCCTCTTTGTTAGAACGCTCAAGGACATGTGTTCTGCTACAAAGATGTCTGGGGTTGCTGACTCGAGACAAGTTGTGGAGAAAACAACTGACACCTGGCAACAGTGAAGCGCCAAGGGTCTGGGACCAGCCTGTGCGCAAACGATAGGCTGAGTAAGTCTAAACCACGCTCAGTCTCTACTCTGATAGGCCAGCAGGGAGCAGGAACTATCTCTGTCAGAGTATTTAAAGAAGAACTTATAACAATGGACCAGTTCTCTGTCTGCCCTGCGTGGTATTTCAGTGGACCCGTATATACGAACATCATATTTACCATTGAAGTGTTTTGCATTAATTAAAATAATAGTCTATTATAGAAGACGTGTATTGACCTCTTTTTGTTCCAATACCAGATTTGAATTGACGCAACTTAACAACAGCCAGGGTGGAAGACATGCTAGCTAGCTACAGAACAATTACACAGCCAGGGTGGAAGACATGCTAGCTAGCTACAGAACAATTACACAGTCAGGGTGGAAGACATGCTAGCTAGCTACAGAACAATTACACAGTCAGGGTGGAAGACATGCTAGCTAGCTACAGAACAATTACACAGTCAGGGTGGAAGACATGCTAGCTAGCTATAGAACAATTACACAGTCAGGGTGGAAGACATGCTAGCTAGCTACAGAACAATTATACAGTCAGGGTGGAAGACATACTAGTTAGCTACAGAACAATTACACAGCCAGGGTGGAAGACATGCTAGCCAGCTACAGAACAATTACACAGCCAGGGTGGAAGACATGCTAGCTAGCTACAGAACAATTACACAGCCAGGGTGGAAGACATGCTAGCCAGCTACAGAACAATTACACAGCCAGGGTGGAAGACATGCTAGCCAGCTACAGAACAATTACACAGCCAGGGTGGAAGACATGCTAGCTAGCTACAGTACCAACCTGCTGGGCTTTCCTTAGAAAGCTGTTGAACATCTCACTGGCTCCGAGCATTGGGTCCTGACGCACTGTGGTGGAAAGAGAGGAGATTAGAGAGATGTTAGAGAGAGGGCCACGTCAGCACTTAAAGTAAACCTTCTACCCACCCCTCCCCCACCCATAAAAAAAATAAAAAATAAATAATCATAATAATAATAGGGTGGTTGTCCCACTGGCTATCATAAGTTGAATCTGTAGTAGTAGGATATAGCTATATGAACGTCGTCAATCTGTAGTAGTAGGATATAGCTACATGGACCTCATCAATCTGTAGTAGTAGGATATAGCTACATGAACGTCATCAATCTGTAGTAGTAGGAAATAGCTACATGAACGTCATCAATCTGTAGTAGTAGGAAATAGCTACATGAACGTCATCAATCTGTAGTAGTAGGATATAGCTACATGAACGTCATCAATCTGTAGTAGTAGGAAATAGCTACATGAACGTCATCAATCTGTAGTAGTAGGATATAGCTACATGAACGTCATCAATCTGTAGTAGTAGGATATAACTACATGAACATCATCAATCTGTAGTAGTAGGATATAGCTACATGAACGTCATCAATCTGTAGTAGTAGGATATAGCTACATGAACGTCATCAATCTGTAGTAGTAGGATATAGCTACATGAACGTCATCAATCTGTAGTAGTAGGATATAGCTACATGGACCTCATCAATCTGTAGTAGTAGGAAATAGCTACATGGAGCTGAGAAGGTCTTCTGACGTGGCTTCAACTATCTGTAAATCAGTAGGAGCCAATTCAACCTGACATCTCCAGATGTGACTAACGAGGCAATCTCTACAGTGGTTTATTTACCTAACCAGGCAATCTCTACAGTGGTTTATTTACCTAACCAGGCAATCTCTACAGCGGTTTATTTACCTAACCAGGCAATCTCTACAGCGGTTTATTTACATTTTACATTTACAATTTAGTCATTTAGCAGACGCTCTTATCCAGAGCGACTTACAGTTAGTGCATACATTACTTTTTCATACCCCCTGTGGGAATCGAACCCACAACCCTGGCGTTGCAAACGCCATGCTCTATTTACCTAACCAGGCAATCTCTACAGCGGTTTATTTACCTAACCAGGCAATCTCTACAGTGGTTTATTTACCTAACCAGGCAATCTCTACAGGGGTTTATTTACCTAACCAGGCAATCTCTACAGTGGTTTATTTACCTAACCAGGAAATCTCTACAGTGGTTTATTTACCTAACCAGGCAATCTCTACAGCGGTTTATTTACCTAACCAGGCAATCTCTACAGCGGTTTATTTACCTAACCAGGCAATCTCTACAGCGGTTTATTTACCTAACCAGGCAATCTCTACAGGGGTTTATTTACCTAACCAGGCAATCTCTACAGTGTATTGTACGGCACAATGGAATCACAGTATGAGGGCGGTGCTGCAATTCTCACCCCTAAATAGGGTGTACACTCAATTAGAAGTGCCCTTTGGAGGACACAGACAGACACACAATTCCTGTGGTGGATTGAGTTCGCGCACACACACACACACACACACACACACAGTGTTCAGGGACATGGGAGAGCAGATTGTGTTTGTGGCAGTAGATTTTCCATAACCGTGTTAAAACCATGATGTAACATCCTCCCAGCAAGCGGTCGGTCAACCATACCATGCGGTGTGTGTCTTTGTCTGTGTGCTTACAGACTTATGAGCAAATATGCCCCAACAAGGCTCAGTTTGTTCTGTGCTAACTGCCAGTGCTCGAGAGGATTCAAACAAATACTCAACACTGCTGCCAGCTCAGTTTCGCTCAGTTCTTCTCTTTGTGTGTTGGTCTGCGTGTGTGTGTGTACGACCACAGTTCACCCTTGATCTGTTTGGGGAAGTGTCTGGCCAAAGCCGAGGCTTGGTGGGTCCCTTTGGACCTGTAAATTGAGAAATTAGCTGGCAAAGAAATCTCGTTCCTGACAAGGACCAACTGAGGGAGGGTTGAAACTTTGGTGTGCTCAACCCAGGGCCTGGCCAGTATCTCTGGCCGCTTGTTTGACCAAAACAATATAATCAAACTTTCCTATTAGTTCTATTAACATTATGAATGGATCTGAAGAGAACAGAACAGTGAGGATATCTAGTTCCAGGTTTGTCAAGAGTCAGGAGGACAGTCAAGAGGCCATGGCCTCAACTACTATAATGCTCTGTGTGTGTGTGTGTGTGTGTGTGTGTGTGTGTGTTAGGCTTGGGCGGTATACTGGAGTATTTGGAAATAGCCATGGGATATTTCAATACCGTTGAAGCAGATCACGTTCTTCATTTCATCGGTCCCATTATTTTGCATTATGAACCGTAGTTTCCAGAACAGTTGAACCCAGTCACGTGTTTGTCAGGAGAAAGTGGGACCAGGGGAGTCCAGCTGTGTATTGACAGGGGTCACGCTTTATATTGGAAGTCAACTGTGTTTTTTTTCTTCAATAGAGTGATCAGGGACCTGCAACTATAGTTTTCCTTCACAGAAAATGCATTACTGCAACACGTTCGGCAGGAAACATCTTCGTTTTCCTCAAATGACAACAGAACGCTATTTAGCTGGCAGACGCACAAGTAAATGAGCTTACAATGAAAAAGCACTGTCTTTTTTTTTTGCTAAAATGACGCATGGACATATATATATATTTATAATGTTTATCATAGAAAGAATGTAGCCAGCTAAATGTCCCAGTGAAAACTAGGCAGGCTACACGGAGAAAAGTACCAGAGAAAAGTAGCTCCACATCAGTCAGAGCTGAGTGGAGATAGAACGCCGTTCCTGAATTCTCATCGGAGTGGAGAAGTGAAACTGAAGCACAAAATGAGTCTTATGCAGAAATTACAATAAGAAGCATTTTAGATCTGCGCAGCAAGATATTTCTGATGCGTTTTCTCTTTTCTTCCTGCGAGGAAAAAAACACAGAATTCTGCGTTAATGCGACCCCAAAGTTGAACTTGCTAGTGGCTGAATGAATACGGTGACGGGCATCATATTGTGTTAGCTTACTGACCTGTTAGAGAAGTCAAAGCTCTTTGGAGGAGCTTTTTGTACAGCTGCCACTATCTTCATTTCCTTGTGTTCCCTCTCCTCTCCGTTCTCTGCCCCTCCTCCCTCATCTCCGAGCAGAGCAGGCAGGCCCATTGCCCTAGCGACTCCAAGCAGAGCAGGCAGGCCCGTTGCCCTAGCGACTCCAAGCAGAGCAGGCAGTACCATTGCCCTAGCGACTCCAAGCAGAGCAGGCAGGCCCGTTGCCCTAGCGACTCCAAGCAGAGCAGGCAGGCCCGTTGCCCTAGCGACTCCAAGCAGAGCAGGCAGGCCCGTTGCCCTAGCGACTCCAAGCAGAGCAGGCAGGCCCGTTGCCCTAGCGACTCCAAGCAGAGCAGGCAGGCCCGTTGCCCTAGCGACTCCAAGCAGAGCAGGCAGGCCCGTTGCCCTAGCGACTCCAAGCAGAGCAGGCAGGCCCGTTGCCCTAGCGACTCCAAGCAGAGCAGGCAGGCCCGTTGCCCTAGCGACTCCAAGCAGAGCAGGCAGGCCCGTTGCCCTAGCGACTCCAAGCAGAGCAGGCAGGCCCGTTGCCCTAGCGACTCCAAGCAGAGCAGGCAGGCCCGTTGCCCTAGCGACTCCAAGCAGAGCAGGCAGGCCCGTTGCCCTAGCGACTCCAAGCAGAGCAGGCAGGCCCGTTGCCCTAGCGACTCCAAGCAGAGCAGGCAGGCCCGTTGCCCTAGCGACTCCAAGCAGAGCAGGCAGGCCCGTTGCCCTAGCGACTCCAAGCAGAGCAGGCAGGCCCGTTGCCCTAGCGACTCCAGACTCCACACAGACACAGCCTGTACACATGCTGCTCCAGAGCCAGTACTGTTCTTCCTCCAGACAAGGAGCTAGGGCAAGGAGCTAGGGCAAGGAGCTAGGGCAAGGAGCTAGGGCAAGGAGCTAGGGCAAGGAGCTAGGGCAAGGAGCTAGACAAGGAGCTGCATCAAAACCTGGTTCATTTGCACAATGTCTCTGATTCACGCTCGCTTGTAAATGTCCAACATCACCAAACAGGACATTCGGTAGCTCCTCCCTATATACAGAGCATTTGGAAAGTATTCAGACCCCTTCCCCTTTTCCACATTTTGTTACGTTACAGCCTTAAATAAAACATTTCCCTCATCAATCTACACACAATACCCCATAATGACAAAGTGAAAACAGGTTTTTAGAATACCATATTTACATAAGTATTCAGACTCGAAATTGAGCTCAGGTGCATCCTGTTTCCATTGATCATCCTTGAGATGTTTCTACAACTTGATTGGAGTCCACCTGTGGTAAATTCAATTGATTGGACATGATTTGGAAAGGCACACACCTGTCTATATAAGGTCCCACAGTTGACCGTGCATGTCAAAGCAAAAACCAAGCCATGAGGTCGAAGGAATTATCCGTAGAGCTCAGAGACAGGAATGTGTCGAGGCACAGATCTGGGGAAGGGTATAAAAAAATGTCTGCAGCATTGAAGGTCCCCAAGAACACTGTGCCTCCAATAACCCAATGGTCACTTTGACAAAGCTCTAGAGTTCCTCTGTAGAGATGGGAGAACCTTCCAGAAGGACAACCATCTCTGCAGCACTGAAAATAGCTGTGCAGCGACGCTCCCCATCCAACCAGACAAAGCTTGAGAGGATCTGCAGAGAAGAATGGGAGAAACTCCCCAAATACAAGTGTGCCAAGCTTGTAGCGTCATAACCAAGAAGACTCAAGGCTGTAATCGCTGCCAAAGGTGCTTCAAAAAAGTACTGAGTAAAGGGTCTGAATACTTATGTAAATGTAATAAACGTTTTTGATTTTAATACATTTTCAAAAATTTCTAAAAACCTGTTTTTGCTTTGTCATTATGGGGTATTGTGTGTAGATTGTTGAGGGGGAAAAAAACGATTTAATGAATTTTAGAATAAGGCTGTAACGTAACAAAATGTGGAAAAAGTCAAAGGGTCTGAAAACTTTCAGAATTACCTGTCTTTGCAATCTGTTTACTTTCGTTTGTGCTCGTTTGCGTATTTAGCTAGCAGCCTCCATGGAAATCCACTAGTACTTGTGCTATTTCTGTTAGCATTCTGGTAATAGACGCCCAATGGGCTTTTTTTGCGGGGGGGGGGGGGGGGGGGGGGGGGGTTTAGCGCCCCTTTGTGTACTAAGCCGGTAATACCGTAAATCCCGGGATGAGAGAACGACGGTATGACGATATGAAAATCTGGATACTGTCCAACCCTAGTGTGTGTGTGTGTGTGTGTGTGTGTGTGTGTGTGTGTGTGTGTGTGTGTGTGGTCTAGTCAGAGCCTGTACGCTACCGCCCACACAAATACCACAACCACACCAGGCTGAGGAAGACACAACCACACGAGGCTGAGGAAGACTCAACCACACCAGGCTGAGGAAGACTCAACCACACCAGGCTGAGGAAGACACAACCACACCAGGCTGAGGAAGACTCAACCACACCAGGCTGAGGAAGACTCAACCACACCAGGCTGAGGAAGACACAACCACACGAGGCTGAGGAAGACACAACCACACGAGGCTGAGGAAGACTCAACCACACGAGGCTGAGGAAGACTCAACCACACGAGGCTGAGGAAGACTCAACCACACGAGGCTGAGGAAGACACAACCACACAAGGCTGAGGAAGACTCAACCACACGAGGCTGAGGAAGACACAACCACACCAGGCTAAGGTAGACAGTGTCTAATAAGGTTTCTGCTACAAGGATTGGTCATTCTGGTGGAAATGTTGCAACAGGAGATCATGAGTCAGCTACTGTGTGTTCCACCATACTACCCTTTTACCGAGTCAGCTACTGTCTGTTCTACCATACCCTCCTCCCCATGGGAAAGGCGGAGGTCACTTTTAGTTCAATTTAGTCGAGGTGAATTAGATTTGAATTTGAGAATTTTAAACATCCTTGTAGAAAATAAACTCACTTTTCTCTCAACGATACTGGAAATTGAATTTCAATTCATCTTCCGAATTAAGTGAATTGCAAATGGAATTGACCCCCAAACCTCAAATACAGGGCCCAGAACTGATAAACGTGATCTCACCAGCTTGCATGTATTTCTCCAGCTGTTCACGTCGTTGCTCCACCTCAGCCGGCGTCAGCGTGAAGATCTTCTTCGGGGGGAAAGCAGGCACCACATTGTTCCCGTACTCCTTCTTTATCTGGGAGGGAATAAAAACATTACATGTTCACGGTCTGAAGCCGAATGGGAAGAAAGGACTTGTCATCACCATCATGTTTGAACTACTCTGAGACCGATCATATTGTAGCAACCTTATAAGGATAAAAGTTATTTCATACAACCAAATCTCTATTTTTGATGACGTAAATGGCATGTTATAGAAGGGTCCAGACTCCTTTTTTGTTGTTGTGATTTCACGTTTGAGAAACAGCAAAATCACTTCCTCATCCTTGTTGTGTAAGTACGGGGCCCCTGAAAGAAACATGAACAAAGGCTAAAAAAAAAAACCAAATTCATCCGTTTAGAAAAGGAAAAAGCTCTCAGTATAGTGAAACAGGTTTTTTAGATGTTGTACACATGACATTGTGTCATTCCAAACTGTTATATTCAGTTTTTGTGCGACTCGAGACGCTTCCCCCCCATCTAGCTGTTCCATTCTCCATGTAGCCTGCGGCAACAGGTAACTGCCAAAATAAAGGAAACGCCAACATAAAGTGTCTTAAAACGGTGTTGGACCACCACGAGCTGCCAGAACATCTTCAATGCGCCCCAAGTGTCTGGAACTGTGTGGAAGCACCCCATGCTTTCAATTTAACTTTGTATCCCTCATTTATTCAAGTGTTTTCTTTATTTTGTCAGCTACCTGTAGAATGGACGGAAAGGTATCACTCGAGTCGCAAACAAAAAATGGAATATAACGTCACGGATATGTTCGGAATGACACCATTTCATGTGCTCAATTGGTAGAGCGTGGCGCTTGTAACGCCAGGGTAGTGGGTTCGATCCCCGGGACCACCCATACGTAAAAATGTATGCGCTCATGACTGTAAGTCGCTTTGGATAAAAGCGTCTGCTAAATGGCATATTATTATTATTATTATTATCTAAAGACCTGCATCACTATACTGAGAGCTTTGCCGTTACTAAAAGGACATATTTGGATGATTTTGGAGCCTTTGTTCATGTTAATTGAGCCCCCATACTACGCAACAAGGATGAGGAAGTGAGTTGATGTTTCGGGTAAGTTTCTCAAAAACGTGAAATCACAAAAAAAAGGAGTCTGGATCCTTCTATAACATTCCATTTACATAAAAAATAGAGATTTCGTGGTAAAATAGAAAACCTTTCCTTGAACCCAACACCTTGCAACCTCGCCAAGAGGTTCAGACCTCTTGGCGTAACGGTTAAGGCGTTGGCTTGACAGTCGCTGGACCTGGGTTTGAGTCCCAAGACAAAGAAAGATTATGGCAACAATGTGGTGCCTGCTACAATATCTTAAAATAGTTAGTTACTTAAAAGTTTGAACGGAGCAAAGTACTGAGATCCTTGATGAAAACCTGCTCCAGAGCGCTCAGGACCTCAGACTGGGGCGAAGGTTCACCTTCCAACAGGACAACAACCCTAAGCACACAGCCAAGACAACGCAGGAGTAGCTTCGGGACAAGTCTCTGAATGCCCTTGAGTGGCCCAGCCAGAGCAAAGGTGCTTCAACAAAGTAGAGTAAAAGGGTCTGAATACTTATGTTAAATTTGATATTTCAGTTTTTTATTTTCAATAAATTAGCATACATTTCTAAAAACCAGTTTTTCCTTTGTCCTTATGGGGTATTGTGTGTAGATTGATGAGTGGGGGAGGGGGGGGACAATTTAATCAATTTTAGAATAAGGCTGTAACGTAACAAATGTGGAAAAAGTCAAGGGGTCTGAATACTTTCCAAAAGCACTGTATGTATTGTGCTTACCTGTTGGTGTAGGCCCAGGAGCTGGCTGTAGCGGACCTGACAGTGCAGAACACCGTTCACATGGATGTTGAAGGCCTGTAGAAGAGATGAGGTCACAATAGATTCTTACTGAGCAGTTAGTTACTCTCGCATATAGGCTACACAGACCAATAAAATAATTAAACTCAAATTAAAACTCATTATGTCATTCTATTATTTTGAAAATACATTTTATTAGCGCTATAATGTTTCTTGGGACCTGCCTAAAACAAATTAAGAATGAATTACTGGATTTATTAAAATAAAAACGTCCACCTACATAGGTCTACTCCCACTCCTAAATTTGACAGCGTGCGCATGGGAAATATTAAAAAGGCAGAACGTGGTTAAAATTGGACTGTATGAATTGGGTTGTAAAAAAACATTGCCAGATTATTTATTTGTTTGCAACATACCGTAAGGTCTGTCTGAGGTGTATTATCTAGCGCTGCTCAGTTCATAGGCTTTGTTTTCATCATGGATTTCTATAGCTCAGTTGGTAGAGCGTGGCGCTTGCAACGCCAGGGTTGTGGGTTTCGTTTTCCCACGGGGGGGGGGGGGGGCCAGTATGAAAAATGTATGCACTCACTAACTGTAAGTCGCTCTGGATAAGAGCGTCTGCTAAATGACTAAAAATGTCAAATGTAAACTAGGGGGCTTCCCAAATGGCACCCTATTCACTATATAGGGCACTACTTTTGACCAGGGCCTGCACTATACAGTATATGGAATAGGGTTCCAGTTGGGACACAACCTTGATGGATTAAGTGTTGCTCTGCTCTGGGAATACATTGCACAGCCTAACACGAGTCTTTCATCCACAGATGTAGCTTGTGTTATGCAGTGGCCCAATAACACACTGTTATGGATGTAGGGTAATGAATGGTGTTGCAAAACTAGAAAGTTAACTTGTTGGCTCAACTTCCTGTTTGTTTTGACAAGAGCTATCAGGCTCCACCTACGCAACAGTAATGTTTGGAATTGACAATAGCCAATCATGTGAGTGGGGTCAGATGTAGAGTCCAATCACAGGCAGGCAAAGCTAATATGAACCGCGGTTTTCCGTTGTGGAAGGCTTCATTAATATGACACATTTCTTCTTGGAACACTGGGGTGTTTTGGTATGATAACCCCTGCCTCTCTCCTCAGCAGAACAGCCAACCCCTGCCTCTCTCCTCAACAGAACAGCCAACCCCTGCCTCTCTCCTCAACAGAACAGCCAACCCCTGCCTCTCTCCTCAACAGAACAGCCAACCCCTGCCTCTCTCTTCAACAGAACAGCCAACCCCTGCCTCTCTCCTCAACAGAACAGCCAACCCCTGCCTCTCTCCTCAACAGAACAGCCAACCCCTGCCTCTCTCCTCAGCAGAACAGCCAACCCCTGCCTCTCTCCTCAACAGAACAGCCAACCCCTGCCTCTCTCCTCAACAGAACAGCCAACCCCTGCCTCTCTCCTCAACCGAACAGCCAACCCCTGCCTCTCTTCTCAACAGAACAGCCAACCCCTGCCTCTCTCCTCAACAGAACAGCCAACCCCTGCCTCTCTCCTCAACCGAACAGCCAACCCCTGCCTCTCTCCTCAACAGAACAGCCAACCCTTGCCTCTCTCCTCAACAAAACAGCCAACCCCTGCCTCTCTCCTAAACAGAACAGCCAACCCCTGCCTCTCTCCTCAACAGAACAGCCAACCCCTGCCTCTCTCCTCAACAGAACAGCCAACCCCTGCCTCTCTCCTCAACAGAACAGCCAACCCCTGCCTCTCTCCTCAACAGAACAGCCAACCCCTGCCTCTCTCCTCAACAGAACAGCCAACCCCTGCCTCTCTCCTCAACAGAACAGCCAACCCCTGCCTCTTTCCTCAACAGAACAGCCAACCCCTGCCTCTCTCCTCAACAGAACAGCCAACCCCTGCCTCTCTCCTCAACAGAACAGCCAACCCCTGCCTCTCTCCTCAACAGAACAGCCAACCCCTGCCTCTTTCCTCAACAGAACAGCCAACCCCTGCCTCTCTCCTCAACAGAACAGCCTACCCCTGCCTCTCTCCTCAACAGAACAGCCAACCCCTGCCTCTCTCCTCAACAGAACAGCCAACCCCTGCCTCTCTCCTCAACAGAACAGCCAACCCCTGCCTCTCTCCTCAACAGAACAGCCAACACCTGCCTCTCTCCTCAACAGAACAGCCAACCCCTGCCTCTCTCCTCAACAGAACAGCCAACCCCTGCCTCTCTCCTCAACAGAACAGCCAACCCCTGCCTCTCTCCTCAACACATAGTTAACTCCTGCCTCTCTCCTCAACACATAGTTAACCCCTGCCTCTCCTTAACCAACCCCTGCCTCTCTCTTCAACAGACGCACAGCCAATCCCTGCCCCTCTCCTCAGACACATAGCTAACCCCCGTCTCTCTTTAACCAAACCCTGTCTCTCTTCAACTGTTTTACAGCCAGCAATGGACCACTAGCCTAACTGATAAAACTGTTTTTGTAGAAGGAAATCAGTATTCTGTCCAAGAGTTCATCACCTCACCAACTTGTTATGACACAATCTTGCATCAGCTCTACTTTAAAATCAGTCTTATAGATATTAGCCATGTTTCTTATGAATAAAACATATCACAGGAATGCTATGCAAAGTTGCAGACAGAGCATCTGGCAATGCGTCAATTCAACAACAGTCCAGAACTACTGTATACTGTGTAGGAAATGAGAACAGACTTCTGTTCTGTGACTTCAGGGGAAGTTACTTCAAGTTTGACTTCAGTCTGTCTGGTTATCTATTGTCCCTTGGGGGACCTGGAACTGCCTGTCTGTCTTCAGAAAGCATCTGTTCTAGCCCTAGACTGTCTTCAGAAAGCATCTGTCTAGCCCTAGACTGTCTTCAGAAAGCATCTGACCCTAGCCCTAGACTGTCTTCAGAAAGCATCTGTCTAGCCCTAGACTGTCTTCAGAAAGCATCTGTCTAGCCCTAGACTGTCTTCAGAAAGCATCTGACCCTAGCCCTAGACTGTCTTCAGAAAGCATCTGTCTGTCTTCAGAAACCATCTGTCTAGGCCTAGACTGTCTTCAGAAAGTATTAGACTATACACTATAGATAATTAACTATAAACTATAGACTGTAAACTATAAACTATAGACTGTAAACTATAGATAATATAATTAACATAAGATTCCATCTCTCTGTCCATTCGCGTCTGTCTGTCAGTCCGTCTGTCCGTCAGTCTGCCAGTCTGTTCATACTAGTCAACAAGATGCCGTGTCATCCGTCTTAAACAACTAGTTTCTGATAGTGACCCCCAACT